ACACACCAACATCTCTGACAGGAAAATCCATGCAAGCCTCTGCCTTTAGGTTTGTCCCTTTAGTGTTAAGTCCAACTCTGAATGGCTCAAAAGGAATAAAATATAAATTTTGCAGTGGAATAGTCATGGCGCTGAGATGCTGTGGTGGGACCTGAAAAGAACAGTTCACGTTTGCAAACCCAGCAGTAAGGTTTTGCTGAAGCCATTATGTAAATAAGAGTGAGCCAAAATTCCTCCACAGTAATGTGAGAGACTGCGCTCCACGTTTTGAAAATGTTTGGTTGCAGCTGTTGTTATTGAACGAAGGTCAGGAGAGGCAGTACTTTGGTGATTCGGTATTGGAAAACCTTTTCATCAGTTCAGCATTTTATTTAGTTTTTAAATCAGGAGATCTTAGCTTTATGTTAGAAATATGGTATCTAACCAGATTCTTACTCTGGATGGCATTACCTTGGCCTCCAGTAACACTGTGAGGAACCTTGGAGTCATTTTTGACCAGAACATGTCCTTCAACGCACATATTAAACAAATATGTAAGACTGCTTTTTTCCATTTGCGCAACATCTCTAAAAGTAGAAATATCCTGTCTGAGAGTGATGCTGAAAAACTAGTTCATGCATTTATTACTTCCAGGCTGGACGACTGTAATTCATTATTATCAGGATGTCCAAAAAACTCCCTGAAAAGCCTTCAGCTGATCCAAAATGCTGCAGCAAGAGTCCTGACAGGGACTAGAAAGAGAGAGCAGATTTCTCCTGTTTTGGCTTCCCTTCATTGGCTTCCTGTTAAATCCAGAATTGAATTCAAAATCCTGCTCCTCACATACAAGGTCTTAAATAATCAGGCCCCATCTTATCTTAATGACCTTGTAGTACCATATCACCCTATTAGAGCACTTCGCTCTCGCTCTGCAGGCCTACTTGTTGTTCCTAGAGTATTTAAAAGTAGAATGGGAGGGAGAGCCTTCAGTTTTCAGGCCCCTCTTCTGTGGAACCAGCTTCCAGTTTGGATTCGGGAGACAGACACTATCTCTACTTTCAAGATTAGGCTTAAAACTTTCCTTTTTGCTAAAGCATATAGTTAGGGCTGGACCAGGTGACCCTGAATCCTCCCTTAGTTATGCTGCAATAGACGTAGGCTGCCGGGGGATTCCCATGATGCATTGAGTTTTTCCTTTCCAGTCACCTTTCTCACTCACTATGTGTTAACAGACCTCTCTGCATTGAATCATATCTGTTATTAACCTCTGTCTCGCTTCCACAGCATGTCTTATCCTTTCTTCCTTCTCTCACCCCAACCGGTCGCAGCAGATGGCCCCGCCCCTCCCTGAGCCTGGTTCTGCCGGAGGTTTCTTCCTGTTAAAAGGGAGTTTTTCCTTCCCACTGTCGCCAAAGTGCTTGTTCATAGGGGGTCATATGATTGTTGGGTTTTTCTCTGTACCTATTATTGTGTGATCTACTGTACAATACAAAGCACCCTGAGGCGACTTTTGTTGTGATTTGGCGCTAGATAAATAAAATTGAATTGAATTGAAATGTTACATTTCATTTCAAAATCTAACTGTTTAGTATAAGATCCAAAGAGAAAATGAAAATGATTTAAATGCATTTACCTTGCACTGTAGCGACAGAAAAACTGGCTTTCAGTTGGAGTAAAAGCTTTGCGTAGAGTTTGATATCCTTCCTTGAAAGATGAGGTTAACATGCTCTGCGCCGTGAATACTGCAGCTTCTGAAATAAACTATGTAGAAGCCCTGACCTGTACTTGCAGTTGCTAATTCTAAAAGCTATCAAATATTATCTCTTTCTCTTTAGAAAATATAAAGTCAGGTGATCCAGTAACAGGCAAGAAGGCTGAGATGACATTGCAAAAAAAAAAAAAGCTTCTGTACTTTCTTCAACATCCAGTGAAAGTATAGAAACACAGTGCACTCTGCCAATGAGAGGATCCTGGTGGGAAATAAACGCATGGATTTTGCTTTTGGCAGGAGTTATCTCTTTTTCTCCTCCACAGACTAATTCACTTTGAAATTCCCTCTTTCAGTTAACTGCACTTACTCATACCCACTGATTTCCTCCCTGCACTTTATATCTTTTTAGTACTATCTTGTTCCCCCCTTTTTTCATTGATAGCAGCTAGGTTTTTAGGCTGACATCTGCTTGACGCACCAAGCAGCTGTCAGCGATTGCCTTTTGCTTTATGTTGTTTTGCAACTCGCATTAAAAAAGTTACATTTGATTAGAATCTATGGCCTTTTGCCAACCAGCATGTACATCTATCCCAAAGTGAAAATAAAAATACCTTTCCCCACTCATACCCCACTTATACCAGTTTTACATTTCGCTTGATTTTTCATGTGCTCAGACTACAATTATATTATTATAGATTTTTTTTTTAAATCTATCATGCAGTAAAATCAGAAACGTGTTTTATGTCATCCATATTTATTCTGTAACATGACAAAATGCACTCCAGCCAAGAAGAGCAAGCAATTCTGAAATTCTACATCATATGGCTCTAACAGAGCCCTGATCTTAACATCATGGAGTCAGTCTAAGATAACAGAAAAGAGAAGAGACAAGATGCATTGAGACAGCTTTAGCAGGATTTTTGAGGTGATAGAAAATGTAGCTGGCAATCCACTGGAAACCTGTGAGGAGTATATTCAGCACTCCAGGGGACTTTTGTTTAGTTGTGTCTGTTTACTGTCCTTGTTACAAAGTTAATTTGAATATGCATAGCTCAGCACAAGTATAGAATATATACAGTATTCATTTGGCTTTAGTGGTTTTCATGCTAATCAGGGCGAACCAAAACATTGCTTGAAACTGCAACATAGTAACGCAAACTAACACAAACGCTAAATACCTTTGATCAACTGCAACTGCAAATAAGTGAGAAATTCAACTGTGCAGTTCAAGTAACCTTTGAATTTGATTGGTCAGTTTTGTAAATTGGAATTATAGAAAAATGACGGATGTTTTAAAGCATTGGTGAGAGGTGCAACTTTTAAAAGAAAGCAGTTTGCGTGACATTAATTGGATTATTAAACAGTTTATCTCCTAAATGTAATTTAGCAGATTAATAGGCTTTTTCTCCTTTTTATCTCCACACAACTCACTTGGGTTGGACTGATGGATGTGCCCACTTGAACCTGGTTCTCTTGTTTCCGATAACAGGGGATTCTTCCTTTCCACTGTCTCCAAGTGGCTGCTCGCAGAAGACTGATTGTTGATGGTCCTATATTGTCTGGTTTTTACCTAAGACTATATACCACCTTGGGAAGACTGTTAGTGGAACTCTGTACACTCTACAAATAAAATTGAGCTGAATTGTAACCGGGTGATTTGTAGGAGGATAGGGGGTTGTCATGTCAGATGTATTACAAAGGTGGGGAGATAGTTTTGTGCATGAGATTTCTTTTCTCAACAATCAATAAGCATATACTGTTATAGTCCTCTTCCTGACACAACAAGGTGCCGCAAACATTCCTCAGACATTTTGGTCCATGTTAACATGACAGCAACACCTGTTGGGATGTAGTTGCAAAAATCACATTTTAAATTGTACTCTATGGAACTGAGGACTTAGTAAATGTGGAGCCTATTTGAGTACAGCCAGTTCATTATTATTCTGAAGAAAGGCAAAAGTCATGTTTTTGACTTTATTGTTATCTTGCTAAAAGCAGCTATCAGAGGATCGGTACACTGCGGCCGATGGGAGAGGGATGGTACAGCCTGGTCTTCAGGCAGTTTGTGAAATAGTCACAATAAATGAATCTTCTCGTGTTCATGGACACGAATTGTTAAGTGTTTTTTGTTTGTGTCAGTGAACATGAATTTGTGAGTAATGCTTTTCATTAGGAAATATATTTTGTTTGAGGAACTACACTTGCAGAAAAAGCAGGGAGGTGTCACCATGGCAACCAGGACAACAGTATTTGAAAAGATATGGCAAGCAGTGCATTTTAACCCAAATCATCATACTGTTCTAAGCCCAACTCAGTAATTTTTAATGTTTAAATTTGATGCAACAAGACATTTGTAATCATTTATTTAAAAGTCATGCTAAATATGTGTAGAAAAAAACTGTGATGTGCACGAGTCAGACTTGGGTCACTGAAAGTCCAGATAACTTCTAGCTGTGGACTTGGACATAGCGGGCTGATAAAAGTTTGTGTTCAGGGATACAAAATGCAAATTTGTGTTGAAGAGAATTTAAAGAAATTTGTGTCCGACAACATGAATCAATAGATTAAAGGTCATAGATCGATGTATTGATTCAGCAACATGAATTAATAGGTTAAAGGTCATGACTGCATCATGGACGGGTGTGAGACTGGGTTGGTCAACAACAATAGGTAAGCTGTGATGTTTAGACAGTAATGTATAAATAACACTGTAAACTGTCGAATCATTACCTTATAAAATAGGGCAGCTGTATTGATTTGATGCTATATAAATAAAACTGAATTGAACTGAAATAATGTGCCTAGCAGCATGGATCTGTGCTTTCATGCCGAAATGTTTCCAAACGTTGCCAAATTCTGACACTACCTATTAAATGTTACCGCAGAAATCTGGACTCTTTGTTTTTGAAATATTCTGTATTGTAATTCTAGGGAGGCTGTGCAAATTAAGGTCTTGTTTTCCTTTTCTAAGCTGGCAGGAGTGACTCCTGGCCTGGTCTTTTGCTACTGTAATCCATTTGCTCCAAGGTTCAATGTGTGGTGAATGTGAGTTCAGAGATGCTCTATTGCATACTTGATTGTAATGAGGGTTTTTTGAGTTACTGTTGCAGAAGCAGTAACTCTGCAACAGGTTGTGGAACCAGTTTAGAACTGTTACGCTTTCACATAGGCCCAAGAAGGTTTGATATCATCATTTAAAAACTCCCTTTTGTATTTACTCAGACTATCTTTTGTTTGATGATCCGAAACACATAAATGAGAAATATGCAAAAATAATAAATTCCGGTTTTCCTTCTCTCCTCTTCTCCAGTGAACCAGTGGCTCCTGAAATAGAGGTGAAGCTGCAGTACCACAGCTGGAGAGGCAGGAATCACTGGCACCCTTTTCCCACTGCCGAACCAAACTGAGAAGAACAAATGGGACATGCAGTCAATAAAAAGCACAAAAGCTGCACATCACTAAAGACAGCTTAAGCAAACTGATATTAGCTCAGCTCAAATGACAAAGCTCTAACTGCTACGCTGGCCTCCTACTCATCCACTGTCTAACAATACTCATCAGGGGCCTGCAACGATGGTACAAATCAATACAAAGTGTGAAATAGACCATAAGGACTCTGATGTCTACTGTGTACTGTCTGTTTATTTGTTTTGTGACGTCACGACGATTGAAGTTGCAATGATCCAAACATTTTATGGCTAATTTATAGATGTGTGGATGCAGCTAAAAATGCCAGTTCCTGGGGTTTGGCTGTGATAATCACTTATCAAATCTGGTACAGAAAGCAATTATAAAAAAAACCCTCATTGATTCACCAGAGGAACTGTTGCATTTCTAACATGTCTGTGTAAGTTTTCAGTCATCCAGGTCATGGTAGTCTAAGGAGCTTGGTCTTGAAGACATGTCACCTCTCATCCAACAAGCTTCTTCAGTTCATTTTACATTCCCAATGATGATCGATACCCCTGCCATTAAAGAAACTCTCAGCTTTGTTATGATGAGACAGAATAACATGCCTATCCTGATATCAAATAATGATTAAAGATGATCATTTTGAAAAGAGAATTCAGAACTTGTGAAATGAGGTTACATAGCTAAAGGGAGGTAGAAGCTGGATCTCTGACAGTTTACAGACCTGAACAGATGGAGCCACTGGAGATTGGAAAGAGATAGGTCACTCAATTTGCATGATTTTGTTCACTCGTCTTCATGGTATTTAATTAAAAAGCGGAGTCAGAGTTCATCTCACATCAAGTCCCTGCTTTTCACAGCGATGTATTAAGAGCTGACCTTCCTTCCATTACTCCAAGAGCAAACAGACTGTTTTCACCAAAGTTTATTCTGCAAAGAGTACCCTCTGCAAATTAACCATTTAGTAATCCCTGCATTAAATAGAAGCTCTTCAATCAGCCTAGCAACTGTAATGAGATATGTCAGGCCTGTCTGGCTTTGGATTTGTCCCCCACCCAAAATGATGTAGAAGGAGTGTGGGGGAGAAAACAAAACAAAACAACAAAAGGTTTTTCTTGTACAGTTGTAACTGAAGTAAAAGCACCACTTTGCAGTCATTGTAATTAGGATTTGGGGAAAGAACAAAGTGATTCGAGAAGTATGCAGTTGTGGATCTAAAGAAAACATTTGGAAGGGTACCAAGAGAGGAACTCTGGCACTGCATTATGGAGTCAGGAGTGGCAAAGAAGTATGTAAGTCTGGTACTGGACAGCAGGACAGTGGTAAGGTGTTGGGTAGGAGTCACAGATTGGTGTGGCTGGAATTACATTAGGGATCAGTTCTGAGTCTCTTCCATTTCACAGTGGAGATAGACAGACAGGTTGACAGATGAGGTAAGGCCAGTCAAGTGTCCATGAACTGTGACATTTTCAGACTACCTGATCTATAGTGAGAGTAAGGAGCAGGTGGAAGGGAGTCTGGACAGGTGGAGGTATGCTTTGGTGAGGAGAAGAGAAGTAAGATGGAATATGTGTGTGAAGGAGAGGGAGACAGATGGAAAGGTAAACAGCCAAGAAGCAGAGACAAGGAGGTTAGATGTGCTTAAATACCCAGGCTCAGCCATCTAAAGCAATGAGCAGTACACAAGAGAGGTGAAGAAGAGTAGATGGAAACGAGCGTATTGGGTGATTTATGAGCAGGGATGGCTTACATGATGCTAGTGAGATGTGCTATGATGTATGGTTAGGAGACAGTCGCACTAGCTAAAAGACAGGAGGCCGAGCTGGAGGTGGTAGTGCTGAAGATGTTAAGGTTTTCATTTCGAGTGAGAAGAATAAACAGGATTAGAAATGAGGACATCAAAGGGAAAGCTCAGGTTGAGTTGTTTGGAAACAAAATTAAAGAGACAAGGCTGAGAGGTTTGGACATGTGCAGAGGAGGGACGGTGGGTATATTGCACAACAGATGTTGAATATGGAGATTCCAGGCAGGAGGGATAGAGGGAGACCACAGAGTTGATTCATGGATATAGTAAATGAGGACATGCACACAGATGGTGTGACAGAAGAGGATGCTAGAGATAGAGTGAGACGGAGGGAGATGATCTGCTGTGATGACTCCTAAAGGGAGCAGCTAAAAGGAGAACAAAGAACAGCGTGATGATGTTGGAAAAACACTAAATCAGTGTAGTAAAAACACTGAGAAGAGATGAATGGGTCAAAAAATATATTAGTCTTGAACACGGGACAAAGCTGATAGTCGGCGTTAACCGTGACACCAAAGGTTCATTCTTGTTATTCAAGTACCTAGCTTACTAATGCTGCTGTAACAGTACAAAAAATGCTATTTCCTTATTTTCTTCACCAATAATCAGGATAGTGACTATTTGACTTGAATTTGTAAGCATTGTATCACTTTAACAGTATGTGGGGATTTTGATATTTAAGTTAAAAAGTCCCACATTCACATCATTAAACGACTCAATGTGGCAACTGTCAGTATTCTGGTGCCATTTCACTTAAGATTTCCCGCAGTCTTTATCAAAATCTTAACTAAAAACATGAATGATACTGTACAGAACCAGTCTGAAGAGTACTGAGTGAGTGATGATAATTTTTTCTTAAATATACAGTATTTTTTTTTTCCAATCCATGAAAAAAATCTGTCACATTTTATGGCATAATTATATTTAACTGTCGTTACATTTCCTGTCATTCCCTTTTTTGCCAGGTCAGATATATCAGAAAAAGACGAGTTTCCCAGCTATAATTATCACATTTGACATTTATTTTCAGACGATGGCAGTTATTGCAACTCCAATATTATTTAAACACAGTATTAGCTTTGACCTTTTTGCAAATCATTTTACAAAATACCTTAAATACAGAAAGTTGGTAATGCTAAATACTGGATTTCAAAGGTTTTCAACCAGCATGTTTTACGGTAAACATAAGTTGATGCTACCTACCTAATAAAGTTGTTAGGCTGTAACCATTACAGCCAACTAATCTGCATTTCTCAAAATGAAAAGTAGTTATTGTAATTTGTTTATGTGCCACGAGAGAAATGAAAACAAACATAACTGGGCGGTTGGGGTTAGTTGGAGAAGAAAGGGTCAAATTTATCCAGAGTAACACAGAGAGACACAACAAGATTACATTTCTCCACATTCAGCATTTCTGCCAGTGAAATCATGTTGTTGATAATTATTATCAAGTGTAAATGACATTACTGATCTTGTTGTTATTAAAGTGGGAAAGTGCGACCGTCTCCAATAATATATTCAAAATGCAGACACTAATGTCTGAAATATTCAATTTTCTCTGTGGCATTTTCTTATAAACAAATTTGTTTAATTATTATTTTTTATTTGATTTGTGTTTTTACATTTAAGCTTTTCATATGTTTCCATCCTTCTCAAGATGCAGATAGCTGATTCTTCAAGCACCACCTGTAGATCAGTACAATTGTGTGACAACACTGGCAGGACTGAATATCATATTGTAACAACAATATGATAAAACTAGAACAAAGTCACTGAACAGCTGCTCTATAAATAAAACACCACAGAATAATAAGGTACCAACAACTGTTTATATTAAAGATCTTCATGGGTTCAAGGCCTGATCAAAACCATCAAATCAAAAAGACTTTCTTAATTTCATTCAGGTTTAACATGCATTGATGGTTGTAGATCTTAAAATTGTTGGATAAAGATTCCCATCATAGAGACAATTTATGTAATGGTTTCCCATCATGGATTGTCACTAACCGAACTGGTCAACTTGTGGGATTGTTTTTTTATTTTTACCTTTCAGTCTGCTGTGATGTTGTATCTCATGAAAAAAAACTGACTCTTTATGTTTGTTTAGTTTTAATATGTAACTGTAATGAAAAAAAAAAAGAACTATGATGAGCTATGGGAGCTATGTGCTACAACCACTGGAAAAGGAATTTACAATTATAAAAGCTATATTTCATTTGAGGTAACTTGAAATTATACTCATGTATGTTGAATGTAAATATGAGTTTTGTTTAAGATGGATTACAGTGGAGATTATTACCTTTTTGGACAAAATAAATGCTATTGTTTTATGTTTAAAGATTGTGGAACTCATATAATTAATTAGTTCATCTATTTTGAAATTAGTAGAAGCTTCATTGAGTGTCTTTGTCATAAACTACTAACAGTGTAACAAAGCGTTTAATGAGAATGAGCAGCGGTGACTGTCTGGATTTAATAGGAAATGAAAACAGGCATAGAGAATAGTAAGATCCAGACTGTTTGAATGATGCTGAAAAATATACACAGTGAGTTTACACAGTCTAGAACCTTTGTGGGAACAACATTTAAAGGTTTCCAGAGTCTGTTCTGCTGGAAATTGCAGGGCAAACTAAAAGCAGGGACTATGGAAAACAACAATAATGTGATAAATAATGTACTTTCCTGTAAACATGCATGCTCCAGGCACTTTATTAGGTACAGTGCACTTTGCTAATACTCTGTTGGAATCTCGTTTGCCTTCAGAACTGACTTAATTCTGTTATACATAGATTTAACAATGCAGTATTATGCAGTAGATGCAGATTTGTATGATGCACATCGATGATGCAAATCACCTGTTACGCTGCATCCCAAAGGTATCTTATTACACCAAGATCTGGTGACTGTGGAGGGCATTGGAAAACAGCAAAGTGCATTTTCATGTTCAAAAAAGCAGTGACATGGTGTTTATATGCTCACTGTTGTCATAAAGGGATGGACATGGTAAGCAATGATATTCAGGTAGGCTTTGGTATTTAAATGATGCTCAGCTGAGTGGCACAAGTGTAACAAGAACCTCCCTCCCCACTGCTCCA